ATGAAGTTGACGAAGATTCTGAGGAGCATGTGGGGAGTAATGTTACCAGTGATTGGTGGTATTTTGATACTGCTTCTAACACACACCTTACCGGTAACAGAGACGACTACTGCGTGTTCACGGAAGATACCTCGGAGTCACAAAGCGTACATGGAGTCACTCCAGCGTTAGCATCGCATATTGCTGGTGTTGGAACGGTGGTCCTGGAGACAGAGGTCGATGGGGAGCCCATGGAGCTCCAATTGGAGGACGTGTTCTATGTCCCAGGAGCAGCAGCCGGACTCCTTTCTCCTGGTTTAGCGATGGAACAAGGATTTACGTTTGACTATGATCGAGGGTCGAATGTCTTTAAACTGGAACATGAGGGTAGAACGGTGGCAAAAGCAAAGCCACATGATGCTACTTGGGGTTTTCAAGTACATCCAACGTCAGACAGACTTTGTGTAGACTCTTCAAACAGACTTCTGGCAAATTTCACTACTGCGGAAGGCGTGGCATCGCTCAGATTGTGGCACGAAAGACTTGGCCATATCTGCCCGCAGTATTTGAAGACCATGGCAGACAAAGATTTGGTAAAAGGAATGGTGCTGATCCAGCGGCAGGTGCAAGATGACTGTGAAGCATGCCATATCGCCAAACAAAAGAAGACTCCACATCGCAGGAAACTGAATCGAGGATTACAGGCACCAAAACCAAGTGGGGTATGCTGACTTGCTGATACCAAGTAAGGAGAACGGGACTCGCTTTGAGGCGGTGCTGGTAATTATGGACGGTTTCTCGCGTTTTGTCACGGTACACATGTTGACTAGCAAGTCAAGCGAGGTCATCAACAAGCACATCAAGGAGTATATCCTTTGGGCCGAGCGCCAAGCAGGAAGAAACTCGCCCACTGCCAGTGCAGTGAAGCACAAAGTTCAGAAGGTGCTGATGACGCACAGTGTTCGGCAGGTGATAACAGATAAAGGTGGAGAGTTTGTAAACCTTCAGATGAAGGAGTGGTACAAGACTCAAGGCATTGAGCACGTTTTGGTTGGACCGAAGAGTTCACAACTCAACTTGTGTGAGCGCACACATCAATCTCTTGTAGAGATGACTAAGGCAACCATGAAAGATGCTAGGTTTCCACGAAGCCTGTGGCCGGAAGCGCTGCGGAATGCAGTGTATCTGAAGAATCGGG